ATCGCGCGCGACAGGAGACCGCGCGCGCAGGAGCGTCGCCGCCGCTCGCAACGGGGCAGGGCGGGGGAGAAGAGAAGAGGGAAGAGGGGGCAAGGCGGCTGCTCGCGCGGCGGCCCTGGCCCATTCTGACCAGGCCAGCGCTAGGCGCGCAGGGGCGGACAAAGGCCGCCGTCAGAAAGCTGCGCCGCCGCGCTCGCGGTGGCTCTTGCCAGTTCTGCACGGCAGTGCAATCCAATGCGCGCAGGGGCGGGGCCGCCGCCCGCGTGGCGGGCCTGGCCCGTGCTGCGTTGAAAGACATCGCGGGCGCGCGGCGGTCGCGCGCGCGGCGGCTCTGGTCGATGTGCGCGAAGAAACGCAACGCGCAGCAAGGGGGCAGAGCTGCCGCGCGCGCGGCGCCCGTGTGCTTGAAAAGAACGCCACGCGCGCGGGCGCAAAGCCACCGCGCGCGCAGCGACCCTGGCCACCTCGGCTTAGGAGATCACAGCGCCCGAGTCAACGGACCAGCTCTGCATGGGCACGGTCGCGGTGGCGTCATGTCCGAGCAGGCGCGGCGGCCGCGCGCGGCGGCCCTGGCGCGCCCCGCGCGGGGCAGCGCGCGCGGCGGCCCCGGCCCTCTCCGCGCGAACAAACTGGCACCAAGTGGCGGGGCCACAGCGCGCGAGGGAGCAGGGCGCGGCTAGGAGCGGGGGGCGCCCTGCAAGTGAGCAGCGCCATGCGCGAGAGGGCAGGAACGCGGCGCGCGGCGATTGTTGCAGCATCATATCATGTTGAACACTAAAAGCGCAAACGCCATGCGCGAAGCCGCGGGACCGCCGAGCGCGCGGCGCACCCTCGGCCATCTTGAATAACAAATTCCGCGCACGCATGGCCACGCGCGAGGCGGCCCCTTCGTCATTCGGACCGCGAAGAAAAAAACGTGCGCGACGGCAGGAGCTACTGCGCCCGCGGCGGCCATTGCGCGAAGCGCGGGGGTCTCTGCTGGGCACGGCGGCCCTGGTCACATATGAACTGACGAGCGCTCCCCGGGGGGGGTAGGACCGCTGCGCGCGCGGCGGCCTTGATCGACTCTGCATGCGCAGTGCCATGCGCGGGGGGAAAAGGCGGCGAGGGCCGCCGCGCGCGCGGCAACCTTGGCTTGGCCCCACTGAAAAGCCGCGGGGCGCCGGGCAGGGCCACCGCGCGCAGTGCCGCCCGCCCTGGCCCAAGCTCCGCCCGAAGAAAGAATCGCGCGCGGGGGCAGGGCCGCCGCTCGCGCGGCTACCTCGGCCCACTCCCCATCGAGTCGCAGAGCGCGCGAGGGGGGGCAGGGCGGCCGCCCCCGCGGCGGCCCAGGCGCCACTCAGCGCGGCGCGCGAGAGGGGGCACCGCCGCGCCTCGCATCGGCCCTGTCCTAATCTACTGGAAGGGCGCCGCGCGCGAGGCGCAGAACCGGCGCGCGCGGCCGCTCGGGCTCATCCTGCGTCGGAAGACGCTGTGCGGGTGTGGCCCCATAGGGAGCTCCACCTAAGGCGTCAGTGGCAACGTCCCCAGGCGCCCCCGCCACCCATTTCGGCGCGCCCCCCGCGCGCTTCGTGGCCCCATAGGGAGCGCCACCGAAGACGATATCCACAATTGCGGCACTCACATCTGCGAATGGCGGGACTCTTCGCCAAGCGACTTCCACAAACGCCCCCCCCCCCACCCCCCCAGGCCCTGCACGCAGCCCGTCGCGGCGGTCGCCCGACGCCGCAAAGTCAGGGCCTGCGCGGCGGTCGCGCCCCGCCCGAGAGATCTCCGCCAGGGAAGGCACTCCACCCTGCAGGCGCCCCCCGCGGCATGCATCTCCCGTCGAGCTCATCGCCGAGGCGGGCGCCTTGCTCTGCGCGACCTCTCCCGCGACGGGCGACGCAGTCGACGCGCCAGCCGAAGGGCGCGCGCCCCGCGCAGCAGAGCATCTCGAGGCTCGAGGCAGGCGCACCACCCTGCGAGGCCCCTTCCAGACACCCCACCCACCGCGGACACTGGCCACCAGGATGGCACCCCGCACTCCACCTACCCCTCCACAGGCGTGATCCCTGTGATTCTTTTGTGGTTTGGGGACGCCCGAAGGCCCCCGCCCCCCCCTTTCAACCCTTCGCGCGTTCGTTGCATCACCATCACGCCGTTATTAATTATCTCAATGTCAACATTGCCATCATCATCCCAACACCACGGACGGCACCATTAATGTCTTCAGCGCGTGATCAGCGGGATAAGTACGTATATATATATATATATATATATATGTATACGTATGGGTTTACAACCGCGCGTATAGAATACACATGTACATACATATGTATGCGTTGCGATTGAGACATGTGTATATTCCCATATGCTCGATATGCATATACATATACGTATGCGATCTTTATATATAAACATATAGACACACACACTCATATGTATATATAGATATGCACATATGCATGTGTATGTATATATATCTATATCAGCATATTCAATGTATATGCATAATCGTATAGGTATATGCCATAATTACATACACGCTATATTTATTATATGTATGATACACAATATGCTTACACATACATATGTACACATGCATATACATAGATGTTTACGTATCCACATACATATGTGGATAATCGTACACCTGCACACATGTACGTATGCACGCGTGTCTGTGTAACACAATCATACAAATTGACATGTGCGTACATAAAACATCACAGATCGACACATAACTATATACGTGTATGATCATAGTATACAAATTGATGTATAACACTGTGTGTGCACATGCACATGCATGTTTGCACGCGCTCATATGTACGTGTGCATGTATACATACATATGTGGTTACACACATATCTACAGACATATACATGACATGTATAGAGTCCGATGCGTGCACATCTGGATGTAGATATAAACCGATATGGACATGCGTATTTGGGACACAGATCCCCGAACCAAGTCGGGCTGCATTCACTGTAATATCGTCCTCGTTCCGTCTGTAAACAACCAGTATGTTTACGCGTATGTACATTCGCACATACATGTATGTGTACACGTAGTGTAGTTTGCATGTGCATATGTGTCCATGGTGTAGGCCAGTTGGGAGCGGGCTAGCGTCGAACACTCCTTTGGGGCATGCTCTCGAGAACTTCACGAAGCCTTTGCTGGAGTTTCCCTGAAGGCCTTCTCGGGCTCCCCTTGGTTTGGGATATGTTGGAGCATTATTGGGCCGTCTCCGTCGTTGACATCTCGACGTTTCCGTTGGCCCTCCTGGGCCGAAGTCGCGGCTGGGCATAGGCGGCGGCCAACGTTCCAACGTTGGCCCGAGGCTTGAGGCGCAATAATTCAGAGCCCAGGGTGCAACAGCAAAGCTGTCCAGGATATCCACGCGCACGGGGGTCGTCGGATTGGCGGGAGCCCGCGGAATAAAGTAGGCGTCGGATTGGCGGAAGCCTTCTGAATAAACACTCGTCGGGTCGGCGGAAGCCTACGGAATAAACAAGCGTTGGGCTAAAAGAAGCACGGATTTCCAGTGACCGATCTCGCGGGGCAGGGGGCGGCGTCTGAAACCGTGCAGTTCGCCCAGGGTGCGGAGCCAGCCCAGAGCAAACTCGCAACTCCATCTCACCCTCCTCCTCATCCGCCTTTCCCTCCTCCGTCTCCTCATCCTCATCCTCATCCTTCTCCCCCTCATCCGTCCTAGTCCGTACGTTGCACCCCGCGCCTATTAAAATAAACCTGGCGGCTGTCCCGCTCGCCTGACTCATCGCTGGGATCCGTGCCCTAGGCGCCCAGAAGCGCGCGGTGCCTGTGCGCCGTGCCGCAGACAGGCAGGACCTCAGTTAGGAGTCCTTCTACGAGTGATTGTGTGAACGCATTGCCGATCAACCCCCCCATGGCCGAATCTGGGGTGGTCTGCTTAATGCGCGAGGGGGCCATGCCTTGCAAACGGAGCATGTCGGGGATTGTGATCGGGCCCCGGTTGTTCGTTGCGATCCAATAGCCCTTGCAAGCCCCCCGGGAAGCCGTAATGGACGGGGTGCATCCGTAAGACCAATGGTCTTTGCAGCCGTGGTAGTCCACGACGATGGGGTCGGTCAGGGGGTCCAGGCCCGCAGCGCGAGCTTCGTGCACCGCAGTCTTGACTCTAAGCTTGAGACCTTCTGACTTTGGGAACTTCAGAGGGGCCCCAGGTTTGGCTTTCGGGCTCTTCAGGATGCTTTTCAGGGATGCCATCGGGATCGTCTCTGGCCAATTCATACCGGTCCACCCCGCGCTCTTGGCTTTCTCGCGGTCGACCCCGACGATGTGCACCCGCTCTCGGTTCTGGGGCAAGCCCCCGTGGATGCGGGCGTTGAGGATCCTTGGGTCATACAGTGCGATTGCGAATTTACTTATATATTCGCGCATCTTGCTCCGCGAAACCCGACGCGCGGTCAACTTCACGTTCTCGCACTGCCTCCCCACTCACACCCCCGGAGAAGTTCACATCGCCAGCCCAGACCACGACGCGCGAGTCGCGATTATCTTCGCGCCTATGGGGTCGACCTAGTATTTTTAACGATGCGCGTCATCCGTGTCGTCGCGTTTCCTTCCTCATCATCCATCGTCAACGTCTTCGTCGTCGTCGACGTTATCCTCCTTACGTAGTTGTCATCATCGTCATCATCATCATCGTCATCATCATCATCATAATCATCATCATCAACATCATCATCCTCATCCTCATCATCATCTTCGTTTATTTTTTCGGCCTCGTCCTCATCCTCAGTTTCGTACCCAAGGGGCCTCCAGGATATCATGTATCGCGGCGTGCCATTCCCCAATTTGATAGACCCCAGCTGCTTCGAGATGGTCTCGAAAGTGGTCGGGAAGCTGTACACAAGGCCCTGGGCAAATGATTCATCAAAAAACTTCAATTCCAGACGGGCCCGGGCCACCAAAACGTGTCTAGGGTTCCCAGGGGGCCACCCACGGGTTTAGTCGCGTTGCCGCGACACCTTGACGTTCTCAAGTATGAAGACGTCTGGGACGCAACGCTGAATATACTTGTATATGTCCTCGAATATAGTTCCACGCGGGTCGTCCTCGCCACCCTGGGCCCCTGCAAAAGAGAACGGTTGGCACGGGAACCCCGCTGTCAAGAGGTTCACGCGCGGGGCGGTCCTGTGAAATGCGCCGCGTCCCCCGGCGAGGGCCGCGTTGGGAATGTCGAGTTCGACGGTTTCGGAGTGCCCTGGAAGCACATTGGAAGATATATTGCGCCAACGTGCTATCTATACATTTATGTATGTATTATGTATGTAAATATACATATGTATATATGTATAGATATATGTATGAGCCCACGGGGACAGGCAGGGGCGGCGCGAAGCGCATCAGATAAGTCAGACTTCACATCAGTGAAGAACGTCACTGGCTGGCGAAAGCTTGCCTTGAGAAACTCAATTGCCCCGGGGTCGCTCTCGCAGAAGAATGCGTGCTTGATGTGCCTGGCTGCGTAGCCCGCGCCGACGACGGCCTCGAGTGCCATGGTGTCGGTGCCCATTCCAGAACAGATGCTCCCCGCGGCGAGGCACTCGACTGGGGCCACCAAGCTTCTCGGGACCCCCTCGTTCGACTGTTTCAAAGCAAGCGAGGGTTTCTTGGATGCGGGCTTAGTGGACGCAGGTTTCTTGGTCGTACTCTTGCCCATGTAGGGCCCGACTCAGAGTGCAGTGGGCGGGATCGGCAGTGGGATCCAGCTAGGCAGGATCGGAAAGCAGTGAGCCTCATAAGCCAGGCAGACGGAGCGTTCCTGGCGATTCCGTGCTTCGACCCCCGGATACATCTTGAAGCGAGGTCTGACCGAGAATGCGAGGCGGATCCAGCCGTGGTAACGAGTAACGAGGGTAACTGTTCATTTTCCACAGGGTCTGGGCCCTTTCGCCTCCTCAGGGACCTCCTCCTCCACCTCCCCCTCCTCCTCCTCCTTCTCCTCCTCGGACGCCCCTTCGGTTTTTCACAGGGGCCCCATCGTCAGTCTTCTCGGCGCCCCCCCGAGATTCATCAAGGGAAGACGCGAGGAGTACGAGGGCGAGGGAGGATAGTAGATGTCACGGGCTTCGGTCGCTGGGCAGATCTCGCCAGAATGTCATGCGCTCACGGCTCCGCGCGCACCGCCAGCCCCCGCTTCCGCTGCTGCGGGAGGAGAATAAAAGAGGCGAGGAGAGGAGAGGAGAGGAGAGGAGAGGAGATCAGAGACGAGGAGAGGGGAGAGGAGAGGGGAGAGGAGAGGAGAGAGGAGAGGAGAGATGAGGAGGTGGAGGAGGAGGTCGAATTGGAGGGGATGCGAAGGGGAGGAGTCATTAGAAAGACTGGGGTCAGGATCCCCAGCCTGCGAGCGAGCAGGCCTGGCAGGGGCCTCATTCACTCGTCATCATCATCGTCCATGAGGTCCTCCTCCTCCGCCTCCCCGGCGTCGGCATCTGCATCAGGGCCCAAGTCCAAATCTGGATCCTCCGCATCCTGCGTCCTCTTGAGCTTGGCGACCAGCGCCGCCTTCTTCGCAGCGGCCTTCTTCCTAGCATCAGCCTTCGCCTTAGCCTTCGGCACCACGTCCTTCCCATCCTTCCCGGGCTTAGGCCTGGGCGTCACATCTGCCCCGGGCTTGGGCTTCGCATCCTTGTCCTTCGCAGGTGTCTCAAGCTTCAACTTGGGCCTCTTCCCGAGGAGCGTGCACAGTTTCGGCTGGTAGAGCGGGCTGTTCTCATCTTGCATCAGGGCGAAGGTGCGCTGGGCCAGGCGCGTCTCGAGAGCCTTGCGGTGGCACTCGTTGAAGACGAAGCCCACGTAGGGAATGTTGTTCTCGATGCAGTGCTCCGCGAGCACGTCGTCGATAGACGTGAGGTTCACGAATGCTTTAGCCTTCGGCGTATGGCCCAACTCAGCGTAGAGGCTCTTGGGCTGACCGTGCCACGTCACTGGCTGGATATCATCGTCCAGGACCTTGGCAGGCTTGTTGTCGTCGGTGATCCCGGGCGTCTGCCCACCGACCTCGCATCGCCGCGACGAGTAGATCTCCTTTTTCTCCTTGAAAGACAAGCTCCACATCTTAGACAATGGGGGAAGAGCCACGGGTCCAATAGTGTTTCCCATCGTAGTTCCCGAGTAGTGAAGTCGCGCCGAATCTCTGACAACGCGGCCAGTCGCTGTAATCGTGTAGAAGAACTCCAGCTGGTCGAGGGTCGTGCGGACCTTGCCGCGGCGGGCCTTCACCGAGTCCTCGTCATGCATCACGTAGGTCGTGCACTTCTCCTTTTTCAGCTGCCGCCCCTTGTCGTCCTTGAATCCTGACAGAAAGCACTGCTCGTTTCCGTGGCGGCAACCGTCCGATATGATGTAGGCGCCCCCTGGGTGCAAGACGGTATCCTCGGTGAAGGTGAGATCCGGGTTCCGCGACATCAGAATAGCACGCGTCATCTTCGTCAAATGTTCGGTCTTCAGCGGCGCCACTCTCAGGTGCGGGTGAGTGACTGGCTCTGCAGCGAAAGGAGGCTGGCACAAGATGCAGATGCAGTTACCGGGCTCGCCGCGAAGCTTGCCGACCGCTGTCTCCGAGAAAACTTGGGCGCACTGCGAAGCCGTCTGCCCTTCCTCGAGGAGGCGGACTTGCTCTTTGACATGTTGCGCCGCCACGTCGCGGAACTCTTTCAGCTTGCCCTCGGGGCCATCCTGCCACAGCGTCTTCTTCTCGACAGACATCGCCTCTACCTCCTTCACGGCCTCCACACTTGTTCCGAGCAGCTCGTCCAACAAAGACAATGACGGCGTCGCTGGGCACGTCGGCTGCTCAAGGACGCGGCTCGCGCCCGCGGAGATGCGCTCCTGCTCGAGCTTCTCAACCACGGGGTCGAGGACATCCTTGACGAACTGGTCGTCCACAACCTCGAGGATCGGCTTGCCCGCCCTCGCAGCGGCCTTGTACTTGCCTTCGATGACGAAATCCCAATTGAACACCAGCTTCTCGACTGCGCGGATGACCAGCTTCTGGGCGTCGGACAAGGTGCCAATCACGTCGGTGGCCTCCGTCACCACCTCGTTGTAGGTGAGCGCGCCCTTGGTGAACTTCTTGAGGGTGTCCATGGTGGCGTCGCCGACGTCGCTCCCGGGGCCGAAAGTGCAGACGATGTAGTCCAGCATGGATTTCTTCAGGGTGGACGCGTCGATGGAGCCTCTCTCGCCATTCGATTTGCCGACGAGCCAGGTCAGAGTCATGTCGCCCAGGGTAAAGTAGCCCTTCTCGAGGGTGTATCTGATGGCCTGCACGGTCCACGACAACTCATCCTGCGGATATCGACTCATCCGAACAATGGGCCAAAAGGGCAGAGGAGGGGAGGTTGGAGTTCGAGGGGGAGGAAGGACGTCAGACCCCGGATATTTCAAAGGAGACAAAATGGGGCATGGGTGTGGGGCGGAACCCCAAGGTCCCACATCGAGGATTTGTTGCACCCCCAGATGTCCGTGTTTTTAGACTTGTCGCAGAGCCTCTGGAGCTTGCTCATCGCATCCAGGGGGGATATCCGACCATACTTGGCCTCTAAGGCCAGGATGTCATTGCGAATGTTCATGGCAGAGGGCTTGTCTCCAGACGGTGAGCGCTGTGTCAATGAAGCTAGCAGTGGGGTTGGGGGCATGCTTGGACTGTTTCCCCTGCTCGGCATTGATCTCCGCGAGCTGAGCCTAGGCTGCCCGATCATTGGGCGACGCAATCGGCTGCGACCCGACCAGGAGGAGGAGAGGGAGAAGAGGAGAGGGAGGGTGAAGGCAAGTAGGGGGGGATGGAGAGAGAAGGCTGGAGGGGGAGGGGGAGGGAGGAGGCCAGAAGGAGGAGGAGGAGGACCGGGAGGAGGAGGAGGAGGGAGGAGGATCCAGGTCCAGGATAGTCGGGCTGGAAAAGCCAGGGCCCTAGCAGATCGTTCGAGCGCGGGGTCATGGATGGGGGGCCCACCAGATCGTCCGAGGGCATCCGAGGGCCCTACAGCACCCTGGGGGCCCGAGACGGCCTCGACCTTGAGCTTGAAGGAGTTAATTTCGAAGATCAGCTGCGCGTTCGCGCGGCTCAGGTCCTCGCCGTCATTCAAGAGCTGCATCCGAATGTTGCACCCGCGGATGTACTTGTCGGCGTCGTTTGGCAATCGTTCGAAGTGGAAAGTTACGGATAACAAACATTTCTTCCATTCTTCAAGTCATCGTCGGCGGCGCCATCCTGGATCGATTGCGCGATGCTCAGGATCAGGGCGCACCTCGGGGCAGGGGGGGGGGGAGGAGGAGGGCGAGGACGAGGGTGAGTAGGAGGAGAAGGAGGAGGACGAGGAGGAGGAGGAGGAAGAGGACGGACGGACGGAGAGCAGGCACCTCGTCTCCTCCGTGCTAACACACTGCATGCGGCCCTTCTCCTTCCCGGGCCCCTTGGCGTTGTCGTCGTTGAACGCTATCGCCACCGGGGGGGGGGGGAACTCGGACGTGGGCTTGTTGAAGTGGAAGGAAATCTGGTTTTCGATGACCTCCGTGCTCACTGGAACGTTAGAAGATGGAGTCCAAAACATATTCAGCCAAAACAGATTACCACCGCACTCGTACTTTTGGTTCGCCCCCCAGGACGTCGCAAACTTGTCTGGGTCGAAGGGCTCTTTGAAGCCCACCATGTAGGGTCATCGTCGTCCTCTATAGGCAGGGCGTCCTGGTGCATTATATTCTCGAAGATGGGGTTCGCATACATCGCAGCCAGTGCGTTCTCGACGCGGTTCTGGATCTCGTGGTTCACAGCAGGCATCGATTCGACATCGGTGTTCAGTTTCCGTTGGGCCGCGGCCCTCTCCAAAGCCTCGGCGGACACGTCAGATTTTCTGGCTGCCTGGCGTTTTTTGCCACCCATGGTGTAGGGCAGAGTGTGTGAGGGAAGCTTGAGAGTCTAGCAACGTCGTGGAAGCATTGAGCAAGCCTGGCATACGGACGAAGTGAAAACGCCGCTCGACCTTCGAGAGGTCGAGGTGCTGAACCTCGACGTCTCGAAGGTAGGTGGCGACACCGAGCTTCGAAACCTCGGCCCCGCGACCCCACCTCGTCAAACGGAGGTCAGCCAGGCTGGGTTTCAGTGGCGTCACCGACCTCCGTTCGGCGAGGTGGGGGCCAACGGCCGAGGTTACGAAGGTAGGTGGCGGCACCGAGCTTCGAGAAGTCGAGGTGCTACACCTCGGCCTCTCGAAGGTCAGGGCCCGCTGGGGGGGTCCAAATCGGTGACGTCACCGAGCGCGGGGGGTCCACCGAGCGCGGGCGGGTCCAAATCGGCGATGTCACCGAGCGCGGGGGGGGGTCAAAATCGGTGACGTCACCGAGCGCGGCGGGCTTGAATCACCGGCCAACCGCGCTGGTCTCATCTCCTCCGCTTCCTCCTTCTCCTCCCCCCCTCCCTTCCCCCCCGGGGTTTCACTTTCGCGGGGGGGGGGGCGGATTCTGGAACCTTACCTCTTTCTCCGTTTCGTCGTCCTCCTC